TTCCCCGCCCCCCGAGGGGACTTGGGATCCCTATTCTACCCTGTCTTCATCTCAAGTCTTTAATTTTTCCCATGAAGACCACAAGAAGGAGTCTAAGCACTTCAGAGCTAGCTTTCCCACTCTAGCTTGATATTCCTTCTCCTCTTTACCTACAGTTTACCCTGATCTGGGTAGCTCTGGATAGCCTGACGACATCGGACCTTGGAAGCTAAGCAGGGTCGGCCCTGGTTAATATTTGGGTGGGAGACCTCCAAGGAATAGCAGGATCGTGACGCAGAGGCAGGCAATGGCAAACCACCTCTGGACATCTCTCGCCTTGAAAACCCTACAGAATCACCAGAAATCAGCTGTGACTTGACGGCACTTTCCACCACCACACTGTTGCGATTAAAAAACAATCATTCATTCTAAAGTTCAGAGTTCAAAAATGGATGCTTATTTTGCCAGTGCAGTGCCAGAAGCGTGATTATTACCACTGAAGCAGCTAGTAAGGGCCATTAGTACTGGTGATGTGTGAACTGCTTCAGATTGCTAATTGGATTGCCAATTAAGAGCGCCATCGTCAAACGCTTAAAAAAAAAATCCTTTGGTTCCCAGTGTAAAACCAGATTCTGCATGTGCAGAGAATAGGCATTTAGCTTGTCTGTTTTTGGCTAAGTCAGGAACACAAACGGTGACTCCAAGAAATCCCAGCAAACACACCAGAAAGGGTATATTTGAAGGCTTTGCAGTTGGGTGAGAAAACCACGGACACTTGTGAGCCTCCAGGAAGGAGTTGAGCAGTCCCAGAGTCCAACTGATCAATCTGATCAGCTTTTCAGCAGTTACACAAAGGCTGTGGTCTCTTTCATGGCAGGAGAAGCTTTATCAGCGTTTGGTCTACCCCCACCCCTCCCACTTTGTAATATCCTGGACTCTTTCTATTTTATTTTTTTAGCTTATGGTGGACAGCAATGAAACATTCGTCCCAAAGCCTGAGTGTGAAATAGATTTGAGGAATGCCAAGCTTGTATTCTGGGCTAGGAAACTGCATGTTGGCATTATCAGTGATTGTTAATCTCGCATCACGTTCCTAACAATGGTCCTTTCTGCATTTGCCTGCCACAGGAACAGGAAGAGGCTTCTCCTATGAAGAGGGTTTTATTTACTTGCTGGATAGGGCTGGAGATCTTCCAGAATTACTGCTGATCTCCGGGCTATATAAATCCCTCCCTCCCTTCCTCCCT